GGTTGAACATTTTTTGAATTCGATGAACAAAAAAAGTTGTTAACGAATTAAAAAAAATGTGAAAAATATTAAAATTTTGAAAAAACAGAAAACAGAAAAAGGGAAAGAAAAACAAAAACGAAAAACGAAAGAAAAAATTGAAAAGAACGGAAAAAGGGAAAAACCAGTATAGGAAACAAAAAACAAAAAAACTGGTTCTGGGAAGGTTCTAGAACCTTCCCAAAATCGGCAGAACCAGAGAATGGGAAGGAACTGGGCCGACCCGATAACGGAAGGAAAGACAAGGGGGGGGGGGTACGCGCTACCGTGTTACGCGGCAACCTACACGCCATATAGGAACCCCGATAAGGCTGAGTAGCGCTCGAGCAATTCTGGTCCGTGGGGGGAGAGGGAATGGGCCAAGCTGTAACGCCCCATATGTAACTTGCCATATTTGTATTCCAACTCTTGCCATTTTCGACACTAAGTTATGATATTCCTCGTGGTTGGGTTTTGTCTTCGTGTTGCTTTTGTCCATGTCATGCATCTCATATCATGTCATCATGTGCATCGCATTTGCATACGTGTTCGTCTCATGCATCCGAGCATTTTTCCCGTTGTCCGTTTTGCATTCCCGCACTCCTACGTCCTTCGGTGTTCCCTTTTGCCTCTTTTCATGCACGGGTGTTAAATGTTCTCGGATTGGACCGATACTTGCCAAGCGGACTTGGTATACTATCGGTAGACCACCTGTCAAGTTTCGTGACATTTGGAGTTCGTTTGATACTCCAACGGTTAACCGAGGAACCGTAAAGGCCTCGTGTGTGTTGCACCCCAACACCTCTCCAAAGTGGCCCAAAACCCAACTAAACCCCCTCCATCCTCTCGGTCGTTCGATCACGACCGCGTGGCCGAAAACCGTACCTCATTTGGACTCTCCTAACTCCTAGAATCTATAAATAGGTGCTCCCCTCCGAATTTCCCGGATGAAACCCTAGCATTTTTTCCCCTCGCCGCCGCCGGACGAAATCTCTGCCGCCGGACACGTCCGCCCCGCTTCTCCCGTCCAACCGCGCGACGCCACGTGGCGAGTCGCGCCCCACATCGCCGCCGGCCCGCCCGAGCCTGGGTCGGGCCCCCCAAGCCCGACGCGCTCCGCCCGCTCCCCGCGCTCCCCGCCGCCCCCGCCAT